GATTAGCAGCTTAGGTTCTTTTCAAGCCGGGAACTTCATTTCCGTGCGACGGAAAGTGCTTTTCAGAATTTTCAACAAACGATGGCATTTCGGGATCAATTACGAACAGCGAAGGAAGTTCGCTCTGTTGCAATTACCGCCTGTTAGATAAAAGTATATCAAAAAGCCAATTGAATAATTGGCCCGTTTTCTTACTTATTTTGAAAATTGAGTTCTTCTTTTTGTTCAACGACAAGAGTTTTTGATCATTACGTGATCAATTTTGTCTACAAAGTTTTTTTAGTAGAACTTCTAGTGTAATGGAAAATGCCTGATTTTTTTCAGATTAAGAACAAAAATTCTAATCAACCATGTTGGTCCAATTTTTCCAAGCTTGAGTTGCCATCGAGGTTATCTTTTGAAGTAGCTTTGGGTCATTGGTCAATTTCCAAGTCACGGAGCACTTCTGCCATGGACCCTTTGTGACTTGTACTCTCTGGAAAATATAATCTCATAAAATCTTTTTTTTTCGTCTCACTTCATTGGAAAATCAAATATCTCTGTCAAGTCGAACTTGATTCTTTTTGCAATTTGAACACGCGGCTCGATTTTTTGCTGATTTTACAATTGTATTTTAGGGCTGTTATCGCCGTCATTTAAGAAAGACTCACATTTTGTGTTCAATCATTGTCAGTATAAGAGTTATTTGATCCCTGGGTGACCATATATATTTTCTAATCTTTTGAACTAAAAGCCGAAGGCATAGTTGTAATATAAAGCCTTCAAAAATGGCCATTCATCATCAAAAATTTTTTTTAATTAAGTGACTGTTTCTCCTATTATAAATTACAGTCATTATATATCATCATTAAACAAAGGGCAATTGATACGGCTGATGAACTTGAAAAAAGACAGCTAAGTCCTCGTGCGTATAATTTTTTAGTCTCTTCTGAAAATTTTCCCATCAAAAGCTTTCAATGGATTTTATTTATCCCTTCTTTTTATCAACACAGTATCTCAACAATGACCTTTTTTTAAATCCACGTTATGTCCATCAATGTCAAAAAGATCTCAATAATTTCAATCATTTTTCCATTTTGCTCCTTTCTGCAAATTTTCAGCCTTCTATTTTTCCATTAGGAGCCTTATCTTCCCCTGTACATAGACCAACAGACCCCTAATCATCCTCAGACAGGAAAAAAGGTTTTTAAAACAATTTTTATTGCTGAGATTTCAATTTTGAGAACATCATTCTAGCTGCTAGTAAAAAAAAGGTTTTTCTAATTTTTTTGATACTACTGGTTAGTTGTTTGTAATAGTAGGTTGTCCGCAAAAAATGTGTAACTAGTCTAACTAGTAAAAGTAGTTTCTTTTTAATTAGGTTATTCCATTTTTATTAGGTTTTCTGATCTAAATTAATGTGAATACAGTTTTCAAGTCGCATCATCGATTGAAGTAATCGCATTTTACACATTCGACCAAGTGGCACCATAAAAAGAAATACCTACCTTGTTTAAATAGACCAACCATTTGGCTCAGACCAGCCTCTGTTGCTTGAAACACAGACGTTGTTTTGATTTTAAACTAAATTTGCCGTCTGTTTTTCTAATGGCGCTGATTTTTTTTGTAAGAAAACTGAAACGTTGGATCAAAAGCTGAAACATTAGATTCTCATTGCCAGATAAAAGGCGCCAATTTTTAATCAATAATTCCAACAATCTATTTTATTATTTTAGCGACTCTTTTTAGCAAAGCTGTGAAAGATAAGATAAATTTTTCATTCATCACTATTCATCTTCCTTTAATGTATTAATTATTTATGTTTAAGCAAAGAAACCAGTATGATCATCATTTAAGAGAAGAAAATTACACCATTTTTAAAACCATGCGCATTTGATATAAAAAGTACGCTTGATGAAAAACTTAATTGAAGGTATTTGTTTTTAGGGTGATGAAAAATAGTTAGGTTTCATTAAAATCCATTAAAATTTTCGCTAAGAGGTTTTACATGTCGAGCATCTTTGAGTTGAAAAGGTGTTGAAGATTCGTTTAAGCATGTCAATTTTTATGAATTTTTATGACACGAAGGTGAAATTCGGCGCAATAGCTTAGAGGTAAAATCAAGTAATGCGTGCGCTGAATCACTCAAATGTGTCGCAAATAACCGACCACACTGTCGATAGATCGGTTATCCGAAAAAAACATGAACTTGATGAATCGGAAATATTCAAATTGTCATTTTTTCGGTGCTATTTTTTCCGAAGTTGTTCTACCAAATTGTTTGAAAATAAGTTTTTTCAAATTGGTATATAATTGGTCAGATTTCTACCTCTTCCTTTCGAATTATCGGTCTGATAAGTGCATGTAGTGCAGGTGTTAGGAGGAGGAGGAAAAATACGACACTTGTTGTGGCTTTTGATCTTAAACAGGAGGTGAGGCGTGAACTGTTCCTTCGCTCTCTGAACCAGCGGAACTTGTTTATTGTTTATGAGACCTGAGTATTGATTAACCAAAACAGCTTCTCATGCTGAACTGGATCCAGCGTCAACAAATTCTCCCTGTCTGCGCAATTTGTCGCCACTTCGGGTGTTTTTGCGACAGGGAAAACGTGTTTTCACGACGTTCCTCCTTTCAAATCCGGTAAAAACATGGCTCTAATTGAACAAACAATGTTTTCATTTATCAGAACACGCAGATATTTTAAACAAGAGATCACGTTAACTGTTAAGGTACATTTTCCCTCTCCTCTGAAAAGTTATTCACGTGGTCTTCTAGTTAAGGTCGGAAACTTTATCCGATTGGGTTTACTCCGATCAATTAATTTTTATCTCCTCGCGAGATCTGAGGGGCAAACGAGGGTTGAAGAGGGAAATTGAATGCGCATGTCGTGATCAAATTTCTTAGACCTCGCCCTGATGATAGACCTAAATTAGATCGAGTAAGCGTGGGGGGGGGGGAGGCGTTAGGTTTAAGAGGCTGTTTTTTTTCCGTTTGACTGCTCAATTTTCCTGACCAATTTGAGATAGAGTTTAATTGTGTGTAGAGCAGGGTCACGTGAAGTAAAACAAATCTAGCGAATCGAAAGCAGAACATCTGGTAATCGTTTTTGACTATATTCACTCCATCGTTGATATTTAGTCCTAATTTTCTACTGCTTCGCTGATATTGGCAGATTTTCTTGTTAAATTTTTTTGTCACAATTACTGAGCATATGTTGCTGAAAAAACTATTTTAAATATTCAATTAATTAGCCTAAATTTCAACAAGCATCGACAGTTTCATGAATTCACTCCATTAGGCCATACATTTGGTACTAATGGTGGTAATATGTAGACACAACTGTCTCTCACCACCGTGCACATACAATTCAACGGAACTTGAATTTGCTCTTCGCCTATTAGAGGACTCATTGACTCTTCTTTTGCCCAGGGGGGTGCATTGTGTGGAACAGACGGAATAATGGGCTGATAATTACGAAATTGGGGGGAATTATAGCTGGGTCATTTTGCATAAAGCCTTAATAGTTATGCTGTCACGCAATTGCGAAAGCTGTCAATCTGGCTAACTGTTCCCAAATTAGTGTTGACTAATAGCCAGCTAACACCGGGAAATTGGAATTTGCGGGCGGGGGGAAGTGGGGCTCAATTTTGGGATGAAAAAGAAAATTAGTTCCGTTGAGAGGGGATATTGCAACTGGATATACCTAGCCGTTAGTTCAATTATAATCAAAAATCCATGTCTGAGTCTGAATTTTTAAGCCACTTCTCTTCTTTGGAGCCTCAGGTTACAAAAGCGTGAAATTTATGTCTCGAAAAGTCATTAATGTGGACAGTTTCTATTAACCCGCTAGTCTAATTTCCTGTCACAAATTTGGGATTAGTCATCCGATTATCCCATTGTTTGAATCGACCCCCAATTTTACCGGTTTTTGTATTTGGATGCGAATAACAATTTCCTCTTTAGAACTATTAGCTCCTACCTTCCCCATTTCGAAAAAATCAATCACTAAAATCGAACAAATTAAACAAAGCCTTTTAGATCTAAGGAGTCTTCTTATTATGTCAATTTTCCACAGCCTGGATCAAAAGTTGCAAAATAATCTAATTTGAAAAGAATTCCTGATTCGGGTTGATTCGTGCATAAAAATTTAAGGGCCCTAGTCTCGTTCTAAGTATTTTCAAAGTATATAAAAGATGCCCCTTCATTCTGCTCAGGTAATTCCATGAAAAACTGAAAAGTATAATTTCATGTCTGTACAAAAATGCTGAAAAAAAATTCGTTATTTTAGGTTATTTATCTTCTCTAAACCGAGAGATTTATTTGAAAAATAAATAGCCAATTCTATAAAAGTGTTTGATATCCCACAGAGATTCCTAAGTAAGGATGGTCATTCACTTCAATTTTCCCGTGAATGTTAAAAGCTCCCATTTTGCCCATTTTGCACGAAGCCTTTTATTTACTATTCGGTGGCGTGATTATTCCTGAAGAGGCTCCAAATATAAACATTTGATTTGGGTAAACAGTTAACTGTTGGAGGGGATCACTTTGAAATAGTTGCATTAAGTATTTGTTTCCCTCTTGCTGATCTCGACTTCAAGTGATCTGAAATGGTCGAGTAAACTTCGGCTGAGATTGAAAGCGGAAGAAAAAAAGGAACCCGTTTTTGTTTGACCGATACTTTTGATTTGTTGATCCTTCAAAGAGAGTTAGAATTTGGGCCGCCAAACAGAATTGAATAATTTCTTCTTTATCGCTGTTTTGCGGCGACCAGCTAATCCGATATCAATATGACATTTTTTACGCTTCTTCACACTTTTTTGGAACCCACAACAGTTTTTGAACTTGCGCAACACAAAGATTTAAAAAAACAGATAAATTGTAAAAAGAGTTGTAAGCTTTATCTAAGAAATTTGATAAAGCTTCCCAATACATCGCTTTTGATTTTTAGTTGATCTATGTTTTTTCTGATGCTGACCTCGATAATTTTGTCTGATTTATTTTGATTGATTGGTTGATTTCAGGCCGCTGGATTACGAGCAAGTGAAGGAGTGCCGACTGAACGTCTCGGGGACAGACGAGGGCGGGAACGGACTGACTTCCTACATCGAAGTTGTCACCCAAGTGGTGGGTTTGAACGACAATCCTCCTATCTTCCCAGGAGTCATCCAGAAACACTTCCAAGAGACCCCCTCATATGGAGAATTCATCACAGAATTGGCTGTGGATGATGCTGATGAAGATGACACCAGCGTATTCAGGTATGTCTTCCAGTTGTCTTCCAAAAAGAAATGTTCAAACATATTCAGGACCTCAAAACCTTTATGATGCATTTTCATTGCTCTACGAAAAATAATGGCCATAAACTTGTTTAGTTTTTTGTATTTAATAAAAAGCCTGTCTAGCGGCCGCAATGATTTATCGTATTTTTCATTGTTTAGTTTCGTCGATGACTCTTCTGCAGTGAATTTCTACTTGCAAGGAAATTACAATGAGAGGCTGATGGCAAATCGAGATTTGACCAACACAAGCTATCTTTTCCTGGTAAAAGCAACAAACAACCCTCGGTCGCTAACTGCAACAGGTAAATTATTTTTTTTTGCAAAACGTATGGTTAATTGAGCACCTTTCTTCCTTTTTCTGAGCCTTTTTGTCGGCCCATTTGTAGTTTTCAGGATATAATTAGCAGTTTTGCGAGCATTGTTCTCCCTTTAATTAGTAGAGCATTAGCGAGATGAAGAAAAATAGATGAAAAATCAGTTTTAGCGGCTCAAGTTGTCGCAAAATTGTTTGTTAGTACTTTTTACAATTCTTGTCATGTTTTTCTACCGTCTGATTTGATAATGGAATGGAAGTTAGAGAAAAAGAATATCTGAATGTTTCCATTTTTTCTCTTGATTAAATCACAGGACTTTAAGCTATAATGAGCTAACTTCCGATCTATTTTTCAAAGACGAGAAAGTTTTTTCAAAGGCAAAAAGTTTTAAACTTGGTGAAAATGAGAAAAAAGTAGCTAAAATAATTACATTTTTATGTTTTATGTCAGCTAGTTAGCGAGATTAGTTATCTCCTCGTGATATTGGACCGAGCGAAAGGTGGGGTAAGGGGGATGCTAAATTTTCTGCTTTGATGGCTTTAATTGAGACGAGGAGCACACGTTGTTATGCTCCGCTCCCCAATTTAAGGACCCGCCTTGTCCCATCCGGCCACATTTAGCCATTTCCCACCGATTCAGATAACGCCCCCGATGTTAGCCCAATTAAGTGTGCTGTCCATTTGTGTTAGCCTCACTCTCAGTCTCTTTTTCGCCTCACCGCCAGACGATATTGTCTTTTAAAGCCTCCTTTGTAGTACTAGAAGCTCATTCAAATGATGTTGAATGAATGGCCCTCAATTTAGATTAAAGCAACTTTATATGCTTTACGCTCAGCATCAACTAAAGCGCTCTTCTCATTTCATAAAAGTTATTAAACATGTCCGATCGTTCAGAAATTCTTTCGAATTTTTTTTGAATAAAATTCCCGATACTCCCATTCAATTTCAAACATAAAACGCATAAGTTTAGAGTGAAAAAACTCACTCGTCTTAATTTTGCCTTCGGAAAATTTAATTTTGAATTTTTACTACAAATGAGAATCCGCCCTTTTTAAATTGCCCCTTTTTTCTTTGAATCCCCTAAAATCTATCTACGGGATTTATGACTCGATCTAGATTAGACTGCAGTTTGCCCAGGAAGCATGAGTCATCTCAGTTGACACTGAACTAAGTAAATGCTGAGTGTTATCGCTCAAAGGCGTGTTGTTTAGACACGATGGGATTACTGAGCCCATGATGATGATGCTATATAAATGTATGCTTAATCAATGCAAACTTATAAACACTTTCTATTTCCCTGGTGATAAATGCTACCTGTTTGTTTTATTCGCCCTCACAATTGTGCGACATACGGTCTGGGGAAATATGGGTAAAATAGGTTTGCATTTTTTTTACGGTTACTTTGTTTTCACTAAAAATGTAAAAAAATCCTGTTGCGCGTATGAACAAATTAAGCTAGCTACGCGTGTTGGCCAGCCACAATATCATAAATAAAGCTTTTTGATGCTCCGTTTGTTTTAAAATAATATTTGTTTGTTCAATAAAATGCTCCATTCTCTAGACAATAATCAATAGTTTTCGATTATTTAACAGGTTTTTATCTTACGAGGAGAGAATTTAAATTTGATGGTTTAATTGTCACTATTTTTTCAGCTCGTCTTTTCAAAAATTTCGGCATCATTTTTTGGTATTTAATTTTTAATGTGGCCATTTTAATAAAAAATCATAACCTGGACAAGCAAGAGAACATTTCATATACATTTGGTTGAAAGAAAAATATCTGAAATCTTTTACAGGCATTCGGTTCAATTTTTAATTAAGGAAAAACATTTGAAGGCTTCAGAAATGTAATCCAGCAAATACCATTTGTGCTTTTATTGCTCTAGGCTTTGTCCATTATGAAATTGACAAGTCTTCTGTTTGCATAAGTAGATCATTCTGGTTTTATTTTTTTGAACGATAAAATAAAAAAATGGTGCTTTGATAATGTTTTTCCTAGTTTTCTCTATTTTATCAGCCAGCTAATAACTTTTAAACTAGATCAAACGAGAATCTTTCAACGACAAACCAGCTTTCTATTTTTGAATAGGATGGATGCCGTTTCCAATGGCTTGATTTTACTTGAGGTTTGGGGTTTTGGACACGATATCTTAATCCATCAGGCTGAATCACACGTGTGATAATATTGTCGCATACACAAAAATCTGGCTCAGTTCTGCACTTCGCGTGTGCCGTATGGGCGCCCTATTTTAATTAAGTCCAGATTAAATCTACAAATGGCAAAATTACCCCAAATCTTCCCAACTTTATTGCACATTTAACCCAATTCTGTCTTTTCAAAACCCGATCTTAGATCTTTGGGGGTAATTGAATCTAAATTTCAGACCGGGTTCCAAAATTAAGAACTTGGTCAAGGAATTAAGCTAACCTAGATCAAGGACAACTGCGCGAAACCCGAATTATATCCGGGTTTAAATCGCCAGATCAAAATTTAATATCGCTGAATATCCTTAATTTCTGGCCGAGGCTTTAAGTTTCTTTGAAATCGCATTTGGGCGAGAATTATGCTCTTAATATATGGCTGAGCACATGTCATTAATTACGAACAAAGTATTAAGAAATCGTTCAAACTTTTATGAGTTCGTGAGAAATTTCCTACAAGATGCGTAGTGATATATGTGAACAAGATGTGGCATATACGTTGATAATTTTTCATAATGGGCATGCAGACCAAAGTATAATTTTGTTGACAGAACCCCATAGCTAAACCCAACTTTCAAAACATTGGGCGGAATTTTGCAGCGTTTTTGGAGACAATCTTACGTCTAAAATTTCTAGCCGGTCTTTCAAAATACTCGCCAATTGCTCATACGTATTGTATTGTTTATGGTTTCAGTCGGTAGCTTGCTTGAACTGGTAGTTTGGACGGACCAAATTCGAGACTAAAAGGAAGCTTCCAGTCTGTATGCTTTGAATCGAATGTTTTCCTGTTTACACTTCAAGCTAGAGAGTGTAGCTATAAGGGGGTAAAATTTGTTTTGCCTTTTTACCCGTGGGCAGGCAAGGCGCCACCATTCCCTGTTGAAAAACAATCAACTGTCTTTTCCATCAAAACTTAAAGTCATTAAGACACAACCCCGGGCTCCAACGTGCTTCATTGTCTACTCGAATGTTGACTTGGAACGCTTAAGCCTGCAGCGGACAAATGAAATTGACAGCAGCAATCGAGTCGACTGTTTTTCACGACTCGCTTCTACTCCGTTAAAAACAATTTTGCAGCAATTTATTATATCTTCGTACTAATTAACCCAAGCGTGGTGAGCAAACAAATGTGAATCATTCATGTATTTTCTTCAGACTGAAACCATATCCTGTTCGGTCTCGAGGGCAAAGAGGTTAATATGGGTCGAAAGAGGAAATACCCCCTGCTATTTTTTTAAAAATTGATTGCATGTTGAAAATTGTATTGTTCTTCTGTGCAAAAACGTAGATAGCCAGAACGGATATGAGACGCTTCACTTTAAATTGCATTAAAAAATATGAATGGTATAACTCTAATCTATTAATGAAAATCAGAATATAAATTTTAAGCATAATCTTCATCATGAATTCAAGTCATTATTGTGTAGCTTGAAGCAGTAGTTGATGGGATGAGCATATCGGTTACACAATCACAATCTGAAACTAATGATGTTTAATTTGTCTTCGTAATTTACTGATTTAGAGGCTGGCCAAATTGGTTGAATTAGCTGTGCATCAACCAAACGAACTTTTTTAGAGACAGAAGCGCCATAAAACATTTAATGCTTTTATTAATTTTGTCAAGTAGAAGCAAAAAGTTAATTTACTTTTTGCTTGTACAAGATGTTAAATCTTATGTTTTCGGATAAAATTTTTTATGTGAACATTTTTTATGACTACGGGAAATAAAAATGTCAAACTAGTCATTATAAGTGAATGTTTTCTGTTCAGGTCTGGTGGACATCACAATTGGCCCCACCCAGCCAGAAAGATTGACCTTCTCCCGCGCTTCCTACACCTCTCAGATCGACGAGGGCTCCCCCTCCGGCACACGTGTGGTCCAGGTGACCGCCAGCAGGGCACAAGGCGGCGAAGAAGGAAGTGAAGGTTCAGTGACCTCCTCGTCACCTGTGACCTATGCCCTCTTCAGTCCGACTGTGGAGGGAGCACTGAAGATTGATGAATCTTCCGGTCAGTATAAGCAAGCTGATATGTGTCAATATTTGTCAATATACTTCTAACATTAATTTATGCATTAAGATTAATCCCTAATTAGTTCTTACTTTTTTCGGACTTATCTAACAATTAAGATTAAGACCATTTATCCACGGGGGAAAGGAGCAACACAAGAGCTGTACAGCCCATCACGGCAAACCGCTGTTGTGCCCCTGTTTAAGAACTACATGCAAATTTTTTGGTTATTTTTCTGGGCTGGGTAATGTTGCTTCACAATCAAATTATTTTGCTGATTAAAATCACATTTTTTGTTTCATTTTTAGTCAAAAAAATTGTTATATCATATCAATATATAACAACAGGCCCCGGATATTAGTTAAATAACTATTATTCGTAGTTAACTAACTTTTTTAACAAAAAAAGATGGAAGTAACTTTTTGTTGGTTTGTACTTTTATTTTAACTATTTCTAAGAAATAGGTTTCTGCATCGCTTGTAGCAATCTGAATAAGTTTGCTAAAAGGTCGCAGAGGAAATTCGTTTTCTCAGAAATGTGTTCCCGCGCTTTCCGCTAGTTGCCGCTGTGTTTGCTTTTGTTTCGTCATCCAGCCACGCAAGCCAGACACGACAGTTGTGTTAATATTGAACCGAACAAAACTGACATGCCAAAAACTAAAGATAACCCTGCGACTCGTGCTCGCAAATACGCGTCAGAATTTACCGTTTTTAAAGCGGACAAAGGGCTTTTAATGTGTACCGCATGCGAGAAATCGGTCAGCTCAGACCAGAGAGGCCATGTTTTACAGCATTTGAAATCCACGATACACAAAGAAAACGAAAAATGGAGAACAACAAGTACACAGAGTTTTCTTCAGTTTGATTCTCCGGTGTCCTGTCAATATTCCGCAGACTTATGTGCTGCTCTGATTAGTGGAAATATTGCTTTCAACGCTATCAGTGACCCAGTTGTTAGGGCTTTCTTAGCAAAATACCACACTAAAGACAAAGTGCCCGACGAATCGACATTACGAAAAAATTACATGGAAAAAGTTTACATGGACAAACTGGGCCGATTAAGAAGAGTTTGTGCTGGGAAACTTATTTGGATAAGCATCGATGAAACAACAGACGTTCGTGATCGATATGTTGCAAATGTAATTGTTGGGATTCTGGACCCTGATTTCGATTACGACCCTTATATTTTGGATACCGTGTTTTTATCACAAAATTGAAAGAAAGTGGTATTACTGACTCTTCCGCTTTGGAAGTCCTTTGTGAAATACTCGAAGAAAATTTTTCACAGCTCGAGGGGCAGCTTTGTTGCATTACTTCAAACTACAAAATTCTATCACGTTCCATTAAAATTCTGCAGAGTCGTATGAGTTTGGAAGAATCGATCAGACACTTGACCGAGTTACAACAAAATTTGGTCCATGAAATTGGAAAACAAAAACTTTCTCAAATTTTGAAGAAGAACACGGGACTAACAGAGATTATCCAAGTGGCAAGAAAATTGGAGTCCGGAACCCCTATTCCTGTTGATTACCGGGTTTCAACATGGAATGCAAAAGACTGTCTTGCTGCAAAAAAGATGCCACTTGAAAGCTGCGACGTCGAGAGATCTTTTTCAAAATACGCGGATGTTTTGTCTGATACACGACATTCATTGACTGAGACTTCTTTAAAGATGATTTTGTTTTGTTATAGTAACAAATCACTGTGAAACAATGAATTTTAATTAACTTTTTTGTAACTATTTTGATGCTTTTTCCTCAACTATTTAGTTAACTAAAAGCCGTTTTTATTTCAACTTTTATCCGGGGCCTGTATAACAATATATATATATGAAAAACTTATGTTTTTTTGTGAAATTAAAGTTGTATTCGGTCAAAAGAGCCATCTTTTAGAACATGGAACCTGGATTTATTTTTTGCTGCAAATATCGATCTCCATTTGTATTTTTGTATTTAAGATAACACCGGATACCGCAACAATCTCGCTTTTATTAGAAATGAAAATTAATCTTTAGCCGACTCTCATCCTGTGTGGTAGTAGACGCAGGTTGCTTTGAAGTTCAGAATTTCAAACAAAGTATGACCGAATACTAATATGAAGAAAGGAGTCGCAACTGAAAAAATATGCGCAATAAAATCAAACGAAAAAGATGCTTTGCAAATGTTTCAATATGATTTATTGAACTACCTCAATTAATTGTTTAAATCCGCTATTTAATGAAGTTTAAATAAAAACATTTTGATTTTGAGTCTGTCGTTTCAATCATGCTGCTCATTTTTCGAACTAAAATTCGATTATGAATATTTTCAAGACAAACAGATCGCGCTTGATGATCGAAAAATCGAAATTGAAGAGTGTTTAAATTTTTTAAGAAAATTAAGTTATCTCACTTGCGGGCCAATTTTGCGCTTTTTAACAACGCCTGTCATTTTGTTCTTAGTTAACCTGCTCTGAAATAAAAGAATTCTCTGATTCAAAGCACCGCGATGATTAATTTATTGAACAATTGTTTTCTAACAAATACATAGCAAAATTTAAAGGACGTTGAACTCGCAGGAAAACTGTTAAGCAATAGGTGTGTCAGAACATATTAATTATGTCACTAATGCGGAAATTGACGTAATAAAAAATCCCTGTGAAATAGAAAAAAATTCACCTGTATAAAAAGCTGAATAAATTTCTTGAATTACAATAACAAAAAGCGGATGTTTGATATTTCACAACACGCAAATGCAAAAGTTATGTTTTATGGTTGGTTGGTATGAAAAAATTGTGACGTAATAGTGGTTTTCAGGGGAAATTTCCGTGAGCAATTCAAGTTTGCTGGACTATGAGAAAGTTCAGAAGATCACAGTGCACGTTCAGGCCACTGCCCAAGTAGATGACGGAAGCCAAGGCGTGAAGAAGATCGTCGGCTATTCGACCGTGGTCGTGACTTTGGGCAACTTGAACGACAATGAGCCCTATTTTGTGTCTGACCATAATCACAGTACGATCGCGGAGGGTGATTACTCGCCTCAGAACCCACTGGCTGTTGGGGATGTGAGTTTAATTGATTTCATAATTTGGTTATTTAATTATGAACCAAACAGTAATAGGACATGTCTGCCTCGTCTGCTGCACGGAAGCTTTTCAAGCAATTCTTTGCCCTGCATGTTATGTGAACGTCTGTTTTAACCTTTTTTCAAAAAAGTATCGTCTTTGTGTTATTTTTTGGTCTAACGCCTTTTTCTGGTTGAGCGAGTCTAAGTTCGCAACTACTTTGTGTAAAATTCTGAAAGCTATTGGGATACTTAAAGGTGCATGTTTTTCATCATGGTGATTGACTTCGTTTGGCTGGGAAGTTTAACGACAGCTCCACAAATACCGTATCGGATGTCTATGTGCTTTCCATATGTTATGTAAGGCGTTTAAACCTAGATATCTCGGACGTTCTATGTACCAACTAAACAGTGAGTGTCTTGCTTTTGTGGATATACTAAAGACTGACGTAGCTGAACAAACAGTATTTCAGAGGCAAGTATCTGAAGTAAGCTACACATGGTCGCCAAGGTGGCAATAAAGAGTCTTCCTGAATGGGGCCAGTAGTCTAGACTAGACTTGCAATACTTTGAATTTTTGTACCAAAACCCATCATCTATGGTAGCCGCGTATGGACTATTTTCAATTACATCACAAAACATGCTCTAGAATAGTAGGCTGTGTAAGTTTTTGCGTTACTTCACGGAGATTTTTGCCATTTTTGGCCTAATTTTTTTCATGTATCGTTCTGATGTTCCAGCTTTTCCTTGAAATTTTTCTGGATTGAAGACGAAGTTTAACTATATAAATTTTTGATATAATGCGAAGATGGTGTGGTGAAATCCGCGGAGACAAAAAATGCTTCATGAGCCTTCCCGTACGTTTTGATGAAGTGTCAACGAACGAACAAAGTGAGGACAATTATTGTGGTCTTGTTTTTGATTCAATTTTTTCAGAAACAAACTTTAAACGTTGTCAATTCCAAATACTTAGCGTAAAAGCCATACTTTTTGTTACGCCTAGTTTAATGTACACGCACGTTATATGACAGTACGACAACAATACGACAACTCGTTTATTGGATATGTTACATGCAATTTTAAAAAATATATAAGAAGCTCTTCAATTTCGGTTACAACTAACTGAGTTCAATTTGTGTATTATAAATCCTAATATTTTTCTAAAAACGGCTTGGGAGCTTGAAAAAAATTTTGAGAGCTGTATTTGTGCTGAACTGCGTATTTTTGAAAATTGCTTACAAACATAAAAAAGGCCTGCAACGCGGAAATATTGGAAAAAAAAAAGTTTTTTTTTTTACTTTATACGTCCCCATGTCTTATTCGCTTATTCGTTGTAAGTTGAGTGTTTTTTTTTAGCCAATTTTAAATTTTTTTCGAGCCATTTTTGACAATTTCAATGAAGGTCAATGTGTTCAAATGTGTTCATTGACGCTTTTACAACTGTCTATTGGCTATGTCATCTCAAAATAGTTTGTGTTTCAGATGCAAGTCAGAGACGAAGACGAACGAAGCGATAGACTGGTGCTCTCAGTCGTCTCAATCGAACCCCCCACCAACCCACCGGTGTTCCAGTTCATCAACCAGATGCTAGTGGCGGTGGGGAAGCTGGACAGAGAGAAGGTGCCAGAGTATAGAGTGACAGTGAGAGTGACGGACTCGGGTGGCGAGGTGACTCACTGGAGCCAGAAGGTGCTCACTATAACTGTCAGTGACAAAAACGACAATCCAGCCATATTCTCCAACTTCCCTACGCCTGTGTATATCGCAGAAGGTAAATGTCCGGCCAGCAGTCAGTTAGCAGATCACTGTTTTGGAAAAGAAACCAAATCAATCATCCAGATTAATATTTTGGAAAAAAAAACAAAATAAAATTAAGCTTGTATAACTGAAATGATTGTAAAAACTGACATGCTTGTAGGCTGAAGAGTCGGTTTTTCCAGTTTTCAAAAAAAATCGATTTAGTGCTTTTGAATTCTAAGTGCATCTTTACTGGCTAGTAATTTCAAATTATTTGGTTCTTTGTAGACACTGAGCCTGGAACTGTGATTGGATCATACGTAGCTGAAGATGATGACGCAGTGTCCAATGTAACATACAGTCTGGTCAACAGTCGATCAGCAGACGGATCCACCTCGACCTTCATCTTCAAACAGAACGGAGACCTCATTCTGAACGAGTAAGAGTTCACGCCACATTCTAATAAACAGGGCACATGATGAGTCACGGACTTGTTGGCATTGACATGTGGCAAACTTTGTGCATGTCAAAGGTGCATGTGTAAATGGCTTCGAAATGGCCGAGAAAGTCTGTAGACCTATAGTCTAAATTGCTAAAATTTTCAAAAAACTAAAATCATTCTTGTTGTTGGGGCGCATTTTGAATTATCCTGAAGTTTTATAATCCTTATTAAATTATCATGGATGTCATCATGCAAAATATTCGATCAAAAAAAGTCACACATTCTCATATACTCCAATGTAAAACTATAAACAGTGCGCCATTCCTGCCTAAAATGCCATATTTTTCTATACCCATCGTAGCAATATCTTGGATTGTTTTAGCGCGCTCAATTATGAGAAACAATCCGAATACGTTCTCAAGCTGCGCGCCTTTGACGGACAATTCACGAACGAACGAGAACTCACTGTCAAAGTCGAAGACGTAAATGACAACAAGCCAGAGTTTGACGAAGACCTCTATGAAGTTCAAATAGACAGTGGAATACCTGTAAACAGTCCATTCATCACTGTTCAGGCGACCGACAAAGATTCCAAGAAGTTCGGTCAAATAATATACAAATTGATACTCGATGATTGGGAGACTTTTAAAATCAACGAAACGTCAGGTGCAATTTGTTCTAAGAAAAGTTTGACTCAAATACGTGACAATCAACTGACATCAGTGACAATCGAAGCGCAAGACGGAGGTAGTCCTCCCTTGAAAGAGACTGTCAGAGTTGCTATCAAGGTCATCGCAAATCGACAAGCGGATGAGTCGCCAGTGATCTTACCCATAGACACAGTGTCAGTGCCCGAGAACAAGAAAGTGAACTCTGGTATTTTCCGAGTCAGTGCTCACTTCCCCGACGGGTCAAGAAGCTCTTATATCAAGTACCAATTAGTCTCGGGAAACGAAGATTCGACCTTCAAGCTGGCCCTTGAAGCGGAGGGAAATAACTACGGGGCTCTTTTGATGCTTGCGAAGGAGCTGGATCGAGAAACGAAGGCCAAGTACGAGCTAAGAGTTCTCGCGTACGACGAGAGAAGACCCAGTCTTAACAGTACTGCCAGTTTTCTTGTTGCAGTCGGAGATGTAAACGACATCGAGCCGACGTTCATAGGACTGCCGTACAGAGCCAATGTTTCAATAAATTCAACTGTCGGCAAAGCGGTCATAAGAGTTCACGCTGAAGACGGCGACGAAGGCGTGAACTCTCTTATAACGTACAAAATTGTTTCCGGTGATCCAAATAATTACTTTAAAATTGACCCTGAAACCGGTTGGATTGAACTGTACCAGGTTCTTCCTTTCAATGTCAAAGATGAAATTAAACTAACAGTTAGTGCCAGTGATCCAGTGTTCACGACGAAAGCGAATATCTATCTTACGATTCTGAACCAGAATGCTAACGCTCCGGTTTTCCCAATGAATGTGTTCAATTTCCACAAACAAGAAGGAGCCGAAGATCTTTATGCGTTCAGATTAACGGCTCTCAGTGGTCGCCAGGAACATCTTGATGGAATAGAGTACGACATTGTAGATTCTGAGGTACAAAATGTGTTCGAAATTGACAAATACAATGGAGACGTATTCTTTATTTCATCTCCCGATTACGAAGCGGCACCTGATGGTGGCTACACTTTCCACATTCGAGCTAAGAACTCAATCGGTCAGTCTGACATCGCAGTAGTAAATATGATAATCCAGAGTGTGGATGAATTTCCGCCTTATTTCGAAGACACTCCCTATAAGTTCACGGTCAATGCAGATGCGGAAACGTGGACAAAGGTCGGAGAAGTTCACGCATTTGACAATGACAGGGGACCTGATGGAATTGTCAAGTACCGATTCACAAAGAAGTATCCAAACTTCAAAATCAATGAAAGATCTGGCGAGATTTTCATCAATGAAAGCTTGGAGGATAACAGAAACTGGCTTCCGGAAAATACGCAGTCTGATTCGGGATTAATTTCTATGACCCCACTGCTCGTTGAAGCATCTTCTGGAAAGGCGAATTCACTTCACAAAATTGAAGCGGTAGAAATAGTTGTTGACGTCGCCTGTTGTGCAGGACTTGTCGCTCCCGCCAAGTCAAGCGAAAAAAGCCCAGTTAGCGGAGTGATTTTGGCAGTCATTCTTGTGGCTATCGTTGTGGGTCTCGTCGTCGGCGGAATTGCTGTGCTTGCATGTGTGTTCCATAGAACTAAGAATGTCGGCGCTCACCCGCCGTCAGTTTCCGGATCTCCGACTCATGCAGAGTCTTATCAAAACGGATTCATGAGCGTACGTGAAGGCATTTCTCCGGCGCATTCGACTCCCAGTCGCAATTCAAGCATGCATATTTACCCGAACACACTCACAATGCCGAACGGGGGATTAATCGGGTTTCCTCAGCACTCACAGCGATCAGCTGCTTCGAGTGGTCGGGGCTCAGCTATGAACGACGCTGACTCAGAAATCAAAAGAATCAACGACAGGAACTACCTTTTGAACGCAAAGACGCCTGACTTTTTAGCATACCAGAAAGATTCCGGCTTCAACGATATGCAAGATAACGTGTCGGTTGACAGCGTCGCGCAGAACATTGCCGAAGTTATTTTCGGTGAAGAAGACCAACACGTGTACGCAAGTGCAAGTATCGAAAGCGTTCATCCGTTTGCCGAGGATATCGGCCGAACAGGAATGAGTAGTCTCATCTACTCGAAACTCCAAGAAATAGGAGCAGATCAGTTTGATCCTCATAAAGGCTTCCAAGGAAGCTTCAATTCACTTGTGGGCCACGATTTGCACGAAAACTACAACTGGGATCATTTATTGAACTGGAACCCGCAATATCACCAACTTGCCCAAGTGTTTGCGGACATTGCCAAGTTGAAAGATGACGGCGAGGGATCCCCTGGTGCACTACCGGAGCCATCGCCTCATCTCTTTGCAAATGGAAACATCGCCAATCAACCTGTAAGCTACACTCTGACGCAACAGAACCAGCAGCCAATCATGTCACCAGGCTCTAAAAAGAACTCACACCCTCCGTTTTTGACAACCATGGTGCAACCGGGAAGCCAAGCGGTGCACCCAGTGGCCGCTTATCGTCAACCCAACGCAGGAATCGTCATTGGGCACCCGACAAGTAGAGCAGGATACCCTATGCCACCCACCTCTCTGGGTCGCTCGAGCAACGGAAGTGCAGTTTTGAACAATATCCCGACATCATATGTGAATAGCAATATGAACGCTTCCACGTCTATAGCTTTAACTCAGAAACACCCATCACAAGGGTTCAATCAAGGACAAAACATGCAGCAAAGAAACCATAAACTGAGCAATGGGAGTCTAACAGGAAGCACGACCAGTAGTAACGGGAGCACTAAGCTACCAGCCAATCATAAATCTTTATCTAAACAACATCACCTGGCTATGGGTGTGAACGGAGCTGTTGCAGGCAATCAACGAGGTCGAAACGGAAACAACTCTAGACCCTACATCCGAGAAGAGCAGGTGTGATGTGATGAAGGCCTAGATTGAACTCAACTCCTCTGACAACCAACCACTAATTATGTAGAGATCATCCATTGTTAGTAATGAAAACAGTGCTTATTTATAACTTGTTGTTTAACTCGATGTGCAGTTTTTACTTTAAATCGAAAATTAGACATTCTCTCATCTTCCTTATTTTCGTATTGATAAATTTTTGTTCCAAATTTAAAACTTTTGCTTCAAATCAGTTTTGCCTCCACGTTGAAAGAGTCTAGGTTGAAAAGTTTTTGAATGCTGAGAAAGGAAGTGAAAGGCTCTCAGGTTATCAGACTTGATTGGTTTTTGAATTCCAAAAAAAATGATGTAAATGTCAAGAAAAACAAAAAAATATGCAAGCGTCAAGAAAAAAAATAAGAAAAGGAAGTGAAAGACTCTCAGGTTATCAGACTTGGTTGGTTATTCTAAAAAATTCCAAAAAAAATCAAAGAAGGGATGTAAGTGTCAAGAAAAACCAAATTAATTTATCGACTGATTTGGGAAAGAATGGGTAAAGTTCAGTCACTCATCGTGACCATGAGCTACACTGTTAATTTGAATAAACCGCAAAAAAAACGAAATAATTGAAAAGTTCGAACGCGATTGGCTTAATATTAAAAAAAACATAATGTTCACAAATTGTTCCAGAACTAATTACTGATTAGTTCGCCAATACTCAGGATTAAAATCTCGCACCAAAAAAAGCCAAAATTTTAAACTGCATCCTTTCAATAAAACAAAAACTACGTTGAAAGAAGCTGTCAATAATGTATAAATCACGACAACGTTTATTTTTTGAATTTTCTCAGATAAAATATTTCATTGTATGATAGCAAAAAATTCGTTTTTTTTCTGCAAAAAGCAACTTTTTTGAACACTTAACTTGTAGGGAAATTACTCCAAATACCCGTAGGTGAACTCTCCAAATCACTCTCCAAAATATATAGATGTTGTTAGTAATAATAAAAATCATGTGTTACGTAAGACGGAGAATTTTTTGGCTATCAAAAAGATATATATTGTTAGTAATAAAACAAAAAAAGGTTCATTTATTAAAAAAAAAGAACCAATGAGTGCCCTTCTGGAATGGTGCCAGACTTCATATGATGTACAGTTTGATACAAAATTCTTGGCAATTGGCCTGGATAGTGTATTTTTTTAAAAATTGACTAAGTGAGTCAAAACTAAATCCAAACAAACAGCACATTTTTAAATCTGGTAAAACTAGGCTATAATCAATTGGTTCACTTTGAAAAAAAAATCACTTTCAAGATTTTTTTGTGTTGACAGCCTAAACTTAACACAATTTTATTCTTCAGTGACAACAAAAGTCATCAAAAGCAACAAGTTGAGCACTTTTTTAGTTTTTTTTTCACCACCATGAAAAAAAAATGCTTATAATTGCCTTAAGTCAAACGGAAAACTTATAATATCACTTGTATAAGAATGTTGGATCCAAAACCAACATATTTAAAACAAAAATTAAGTTCGTCTCAATAAAAATCTGCCAACTGGTGGATGCCTTGGTATGATGTTAAGAAGATTTCGCTGTCACTTCATATCAATCCTTGAGACATTTATATTGTTAATTTCAAATGTTTTGTTAATTTAAGCGCAAAACGAAATGAAGACTTTGAACAGTTCAAACAGCTGTAAGAAAATATGAGACGGTGGGTTCGCAATAGTGCGCCTTGTTATAGTTTCAATAACAAGGACTGTTTTTTTGGATTGTATCAGACGATGCTTAGCAAATAGAGTGAATGTAATCTAATAGTTTCGATGGCTTGAAGGATAATTTTTTAAGTTTTTAATATCACACTTAACAAAGAAAAGGATGATACATCTACAAAAATATGTACTTAATTTGTACTTTTAACGAAAAAAAAACTATTACTCAAACTAGAAAAAACTAGGATTTTGAATATGACAAATGTAGATTGGACAAACTGTCAGTCCAAAACGGCTGTGTTTTTCATAGATTCAAAATGAAAACACAAAAAAGTCAGCTAAAAAGTTCAAGGACGAGATTCCAAATATATCAAGAAACCTGCACGCAACAGTCTAAAAAATAATAACATCACATCAACTACCTTCTATACATAATAACTACCAACACCCATACATTTACGAAGAAAAATCGTGATCAGAAGTGTACTGATGAATAATTTTGGACTTGTCATATCTTTGTCGCATTCCAAGCTGACAGTAATTTAACTATACTTTGAAAATATTTGTTAAGAAAGAAAATTTTCATCTACCTTAGATGAAAAATACTACATATACTGATAGTTTACTGAACGAAACAATAGGTCGATTGATAGTTCCTTCTGTTTCAATTAGTAACTTAATTCATAAACAACGGGTTAGATTATATCAAAGATCATAGTCGATCTGGTCCTAGAGTTAAAATAAAACAGATAAAGTAAAAAGAAGGATTTATTAACGTTTACCAATTGGAGGGATTTCTAATTTTAAAACTCACTTTTTTTCACTTACAAAAAACTGCTGGGAGTTAGGGGAGAGAGTTTGTCCGCTCCTTGTCGAGAAATGGCTAGAATTTCCAGTGTCCGCTGTCAGTCGAGAAGTTTGTCCGAACTGAAGGTGGTTGCTCTCGGTGCCATTCGAATAGACTTTTTTAGACTTTTTTAAATTTTAAGAGCAACAAACAAGAAAAAAAAAATAGTTCAGTCGTCTGTTTTGGCCTAAGGAAATAGAGTCACTGAAAAAAAACAGGCAGGCTCATCCGAAACAATTTTAGTTTGGTTTTCTTTTTTCCTACTATTAGACTTCAGTCTTCTTTTATTCTCTTATCCTCCTTCCGATCAGGTGACAGATACTTGCATTTTATTGATTTTTATACATTAAAAAAAAAACTTAGGTAATTCGGGGATAATTATAATAATGTACCCTGCTGTAGTTACTTTAATATTCAGAGCAATTGGGGGTTCATTTGTTTTTTCGAAGCTAAAACAAAAGACAAACTCTGCCTGACAGGCGTACTTGATAAACATGTTCCATCAATCATCCGTTAAACTTAATTAAAAATCTTTGCCTTTTTCCAAGATTTATAAAACTGAAAGAATAAAAAAATCTGTTGAGAAATTGAAAATTTAGACATTTGAATTTGTCTTTTAAAGTTGAAAATTAGGTTGTTCAGTTGAAAAATGAATAGAATGTTAGGTTAAAAAGGCATTCCTAACTTAACGTTTTAACGAATTTAGAATAGAATAGAGTGTACTCGAATGTAATGTAATCAATCAAAACAATATCCATTTTATTAGTTTAGTATTTCCAATATCACAATATGAGTGCTAAGAGAACTTTTACTTTTTCTTGACTGACGGAGGCCAGCAAACAAAGTTGCAGTAAAAGCCTAGAAAATTCCATAAATTTTTCATCGCAACCATCGTCCTTCAGCAGCTGATCCATCTCTTCATCGTCCTCCAGCAGCTGATCCAAGTACCCACAATGCTTCAAAATCTAAAAAAAAAAATTGAAGGCATACTGAAAAAAGAACTTGACGCCTCAATATTGATTTTGCATCAGAAAACTCTTGCTAATTTTTTGAAAGCCAAAAGGACCAGAGGAAGCTGCACATTGTGTTTTTTGACAATTTCAAGGTTTATTTTTGGTCACTGCTCGAAAATTGTCACTCAATTTCTAGCAATATTTGATTTCATTTGCTTGTTCTAACCACCGTCCGCGAATTATGCGGCTCGAACCAAAGCTGGCAGTTTAAGACTGGCTCAATTTCAGGTTCACAACTGCAAACCGATGCAATTTAGTCTTGGCAACCTTTTGTCATCGCCCAAACCAGAGAAAAAAGGATGAGCTCGACTTGGTTTTCTCAAAACGAAACGGACTCTTTTTTTCTTCATAACTCCTCAAACAGGTAAATAGAAAAAAAAATCACTAAAAAAGGACCAGAAGAAACAAAAAAGCATCGTACTTCCAGCAACCTAAGCAAACCTACGCGACCCACCCCACCAGCAAAACTAAAAATTTCCCAGACTACATCGGCACCAGGTATATAATCCAATGAGCCAAAGTTTTTCCATTGAACGATTTCGATATAAAAGATTAGACTCAGCTCCGAAAAATTCGCCAATGTTTAACTTGTACAAATAACGAAAAAATCAGATCAGATGAATGAAATTGGAAAAAGTAGAGCTTTGGTCTTATCGATGTCACAGGCAATCCAAAAAAACGTCAAGCGCAAAGAAAAAGTTTAGAGTATGACAAACTGTTATTCCAAGTTGACAGCCTTTTCCAGAGTTTCAAAACCAACGCACAAAAAAAAATATTGAATTACGAGAGGACAGATGAATCAAAAAACTTGCAGGCAATATATCAGAAATAAATCGAATCACAGCAACTACCCTCTCAGCTTTATAACTTCAAACACACATTTGCTTATAGAGAAAACTCGAGATGTGAATTCCTCTGATGAATGATTTCGGACTTGGCACATCATTGTCGCATTCTAAGCTAGCTGTAGCCTAATTATGATTTAGAATGTTTTCTTAAAAAGGAGAATTTTTTAATCGAACTCTGAGGGTAAGAACTACACAAAATGGTAACAGCGCTAACAAAATTTTCCTTTTTATCTGACATACAGAGGCCAGAAAACAAATGGCACGAAAACTTCATCAATTGCTAATAGTGAGTTTTGCGTCACAACCCTAGCATTCAGTATCTTTGCAAAACTCTAGTGTAGAGCATGTTCATCTTTTTTGAACTTGATCTTTATCTAACCAACATCACCTGGCTATTAGAGTGAACAGAGCTGTTGCAGGGAGTCAACGAGGTCGAAACGAAAACAGCCCTAGACCCTACATCCAAGAAGAGCAGGTGTGATGAGAGCGTAGACTGAACTCAACTCCTCTGACAACTAACCATAA